TTTTGTAATCAGTGAGATGTACTAAGAGTGAGAATATTTGGGTGGAAAGAGACAAGAGGAAATTTAAAGCGGATTCATAATGAGACCGGAAGACTTCAGCTACCTGAGCAGAGGAGTTTACAGGAGAGTCTTCAGTTCACTTTAGGGTTTGTGCAGAGGGAGTTGATTACCTTTTACGGTGGAGTGACTTAAATAAGGAATTACGGTTGCTTCTAGCACGAAGAAGAATTGCCTTCTGTCTATTATGAAATTCCCTAACTCTGCCTACATAATTTGCGGATTCGCTTGAACCCGACAGCATCAGCGTAGAGCCAATTACATTTTGGTTTAGCGAATGAATGAGTGAGTTGTACCGGACTGTAATGTCACATCTCGATAATGAAATTGGGTGGCTGGGCCTTCAGAACGTAGAGAGAGCACAAGGTGCGCGTCGTTTGAAGCATTTGGCTGTGTAAGATTGCAGCGAGTTTGTTTACATACTCTCCAAATGTGGCCAATTTTTCCGCAAGCATGACATTTGGCATTTTGGAAGCGGCAATTGGAGCGTAGGTAGTGAGCTCCACAAGACAAACATGGATTGGTTCGTTTTTCATTACCTGGGGAATCTTTCTGTGGCTTTGGTGCACGTTTGGCCGTTGAGGGTCGATTCGGTGGAGTCTTCTGCCGTTGGAATAATGTGACTGCTTCGCTGGAAGTGGTCTTCATCAAGTCATCATGCTGTTCACAAATTTTCCGGGCTTCGGCAAAAGTTAAATCCTTCTTCTCCAGTAACTTGCGTTGCAGACTGAGATTGTTGACGCCCGCTACCAAACGGTCGCACATCTGTTCTTCCAAACGATTACCGTAGTTCCAGCGTGATGCCTGTCTGTTTAGCTGCAGGATGAAATCACGGCAAGACATGTGGTCAGTACATATCATGAAATTGAATTTAGCACGTTCGTGGGCTTGGAATTCAGTAGGCAGCAGGCGGTTGAGCAGGACCGATTTCAAGGGCTCGGATGGTAGTTTAGCGGGAGCCTCGAGGAATGCCAGGTTTTTAGCAGCAAATACAGATCGCGGCCGCCAGCAGTGAGGATTAGAGCCGATCGGTTTTGCACACCACCTTTTCGAATACTGCACCACAGCTCAAATCGCCATAGCCATTCCTCAATCTAGGATAGACTGGCTTGCAGGGTCAATTGTTCAATACTTGTAAGCTCCATTGCGCGACGCCAATTTGTGGTGATCGTAGAAGTAGTAGTAGTGAAATTACGCCCAGAATTCAGGACACGAACTACGCAATAGGAATCACGGAACACGAATTAGAATTCCGGTGGCAATAGACCGCAATGACTCGAACTCGCAATAACCCGCAGGATCGAAACGCAAGGAAAAAGGCCACAAGACAGGCGAATCACAAAGTTGTTCATTGAAGGAAATGAAAGTGAATATATATATGTGCACAAAAGAAGACCATCAGTTACCTTAGTTCCACCAATCATATTGCATCACATCTTGCCTCATGCTGCTCTTCTCTGCATTGTATCTGATTGGCTGGAACGGTCCACCAATGACGTGTATCCGGAGGCTGTGCACCTGCTACTGGCGTCAGCGCTCAAAGTCAGTTGATAACCAATGTCCGGAAAATGTATCCCGCTGCTCCAGGGCAGGCGTAATCTCGTAGATCCGAATCACCACAGACAATATGAGCATACGTTGGGAAACTGTGCCAAATACCAGTCTGAGAGGTACCATATTGATGTTCAATCTAATGGAGGGCTCAGTGAAAAGGTAGGACCTCTGATATTGGACGACGGAGAAGTAGTAACCCTTGAGACGGATATAGCAGTGCGATTTAAGGAATACTTCAAGAGCTTTCGCAGAATAGATCAAATCGTCACTGCGCAACCTGACCTCCACACCGCTGAAACGGATATTCCCCGAGTTATACGTGGGGCTGGGCAAGGTGCACAGGACTCTTGGTGAGCTTAACGCCACCAAACCCCTCAGACCAGACGGAATTCAGCCAGCCTTAGTTAAACGCATAGCTGAGGTTCTAGGGGGCCC